CCTCTGATAGAGGAAAGGGGGCCACTGAAAGGTAGACTCCTAATTTTTTAGAAAAAGGGGGAGCAATATGTTGCAATCTTCTGGCTTCTTTTGGCCTTTATTCTTCCTATTCGGGGAATAAGATCGCTTTGTTATCAATGGAGAGAAGTTTGCTCAAGTTGGTCAGGAAATGATCAGAAACAATTATTATCCAAGAGACAATAGTGTTATATCCATCCCAAGGGAAAATGCCTGCACTATAACTGTATGCTGCTGTGAAACCAGGATTGAGAACAGGCAGGGATGAGTTCTAAATGCTATTACTTTGTTCACTATTTCTAAAAAATAGGCTTCTTTAACCACCAAGTATATGGATACTACATTCAATCAGGGTTGGGTGAATTAAGAAAGGCATTTTAAGGCATTGTGTGGTGGCTCACACCTGTAATCCCATTACTTTGGGAGGCTGAAACGGGAGAACTGCTTGAGCCTAGAAGTTTAAGAACAGTCTAGGCAGCACAGCAAGACCTTTTCTCTACAAAAAAATTAAAAAATTAGATGGGTGTGGTGTCATGGTGCCTGTAGCTTCAGATACTGGGGAGGCTGAGACAGAAGAATCACTTGATCCCAGGGGTCAAGACTGTGGTGCCACCATACTTCTGCCTAAGTGACAGAATGAGACCCTGCCTCAAAAAAAAAAAAAAAAAAAAGACATTTTAAGTAACTGCTCTTAAGGGTCATTCAAAGACCATCTAAAACAGGACTATGAATTCACCATTGTCCTCTCAAAGTTAGATTTCCAGAGACTATAAATATGATGAAATTTGTAACATTCAGCACTAAATGAGAAAAACAAAGATTTTTATCTGAATATTCTAGTTTTATTCACTTTTTTGGCATTAAATGACACTTTAAGAAATGATGTGATAACTGTAGCTCCAGCTCATGGTCTATGTGAAAAGGAGGATTCCATCCTAGGGAGAGAGGAAGCTGGGTCCCTAATAATGTGGGACTAAAACAATACACCAGCCCTGGATTGCCTCTGGACTTCAACATATAAGAGAACTAAACCCCTAAAGGTTCAATCCACTGTTAATCTGGCTCTCAGCTGCAGCAATGTATAGAAGTTGTTTCCCGGACTTCTGCAACAGGAGTATCTATTTGAGATATATTGCATTACAATGCAGTGATAAGACCAGATTTCCTAAATATTACTAAAAAGTTGTAAGTGCTCTGCTCAAAGAATACCAACCCCTTAATGATGGAAGTAACATTTTATTATTTATTTTTTCAAAAGCAGGATTTATTGTGAGAGGACAGTAATAAAGTATACCATAGACTTAGGTTAAGAGCATGCTATAACCCAATAAATATGTAATCGGCTTGTGGACAATA